TCCTCGCCTGGGCGGGGCGGGCTGAGCCGTAGAGCTTACACTCGCACAGCGGCCGCCAGATGCCAACATAGGTGTGGCGTAGCGTGGCGCGGGCGCCGGCTCTGGCAGGCCGTGCCGTCGGGGAAGGTCCAGCCGCGGCTCACCGAGCCCCCGCTCTTCTTGTAGCACCACACGGCGCACGCCTCCACCGCTGCAACAGCGCAATTCCACCTCTACTCGCCCGTGCGCTTCCAAGGCTACTCTAAAGCCCTTCCGAAGCACTTCGTCGCGAAGCTGAGGTCTGCCTACTTTTGTTAAGGCTTCTCGTTAAGCACGTCACAGCAGTTGACGATCCAATCGCATGGAAAATGGTTTTACTCTCAACCACACATCATGATAAGCGTCTTTTAGGTTGTTTCATTGACTATAGAATATATTATATTAATTACTACGTTTATTTTAGTTTTATATTTTGCATAAATTCTTTCTATATTCGTTTCTGTTTTTACTTTCTCCCTACTGCTTACGCTGTATAGAAAATATTGTAATGCTGCGGGGAAAAAGGTGAATTTTCGACAGAAAACCCTTATTGGAGAGCCCTGGTAACAAGTGGATAAATCATGTCACTATATATAGTAAATTACTTCTGACTACAAGTGCTGTAGTCAGTTTTGTATATGATTGTTTTGGTAAAAGAAAGAAAAGGTTATTTAACGAAAGATCTTTCGAAAATTATGGTTTCTAAAATGGTTAAATTTGTAGATAGCAAAACTGATAGCTTTCTCGTCACCAGAGAATCCGTAATCTATAATTTAGTCTAATGTTTCCATAATTGTTCAATTAAGTAGATATTCCAATTAATTTTTGTTTATAAAGACGCTCCTGTCCTGTCAGGTAAGTTATTTTTCTAGTCGAGTAAAATGTTTAAACATCATAAACTAGAAATCATGACAATGATCATCATTCAAACTATATATCATAAATTTTCCCCTCTCTCGGGTTTACAGTATACTAACAGGTTCCTGTTCCCGATGATCCAAGCAACAAAAATGCCCACTCGATCCCTGACAATCGGGTTTTCACTAGATGTCACTAAATAGCCTCAGTTAAAGGTATTCTTAAACTGCAACCAGAGCGTGGGTTTCGTCTTTTCGAATTGAAAATGTAAAGAAGTAGTGAAGCACCATTTAATTCTAAAAGAGATAATGAATTATTTATATAAATAAGATATAAATTTACTCACAGGTTTGCAACTGGCATGAATTTTTAATGAAATAATTCAGTGAATATAACAAAATTACTGAAACAGAAAACACCATGCACAACAAACACTAGAAGCACAAATAAAAAAAATTAACACACCAAAAGAATTACAAAATAACATTTAGTTCATGAAATAGACCATAAGAAAGGACATAAATTTAAGTAAAAGAAAACCTAATTTACAATAATACAATATTCACTTCATTTAGTTGAATAGAAGTTTGTTTGAACCGCTTTCCTTTAATTGGAAATTGTCCTTCGTATTATTCTTTCCAAATAAAATATTAACTTCCTCAGTTGCCAAAACCGTTTTCAAACATCCAGAAGTTCACGAATGAACACAAATAATATTAAAGTATTTGTTCACGATTCGTTATTTCCCTATTCACCCTTTTTTTCAAAATTACAGTCATTCTTATAACTTGTAACATATGGCTCCAGCTAAGGTCGTCCCCGGTCCTAATAAGCTCTCTGTCGGCACGACCTTGACTTCGTGCAGCTGATTTTGTTATAAAATTAACAACTTTCAGTATTCCTGCACATTTAACTAGCACAACAAAGAGACAAATGCAAGAAATTGCTGGCAGTTGAACGACTCATGCTATCTTCCCTCGATGTCTGTTTCGCATCTGCGTTGCGTCTGGCCAACTCTCAGGGCGAATCGTTGTCTCGTTCTCGTACCTCTCGCGCATAAGCCACGCACGTCTACGCCTCCTCTCGTCAGCTGAGTGCTTTCTTTCGTTCAATATCCTCAAAATCAATTCAACATTCCCCTCGGTTGGATAACGTGAGAATAAAGAATAGTAATAACAGACGAGACAAGCTCTTTTCCGAGCTTCAGTTTTGCGTGTCTGGAACGATTGCGTGGAACACTAATCTTGCTCTCGTTGAACTTTCTTCTCGAAAGTGCTTCCCAAAATTGTCGAATTTCAAATTTTACTTTAAATTCGCGTAACAGGCTTATAATTTCGATGGTTGGATGAGCTGGTTTAGCGGTCAATTTTACAGTCAAAATTCGATTATCACAGCCTGCGCAGTGCCCTCTGTCTGTTATTGAATTAGGTCAGTAAATCGGTAGGTAGAGTCAGAATTCTGAAGCTTTTGAACGACAACGTGAAATCGCAAAAGCGAGCGGTTACAATATCTTAAGAGCCATTTCATGTAAATTAGATTCGAAAAACGCCCCGCCACCACCAATTTGCACGAAATTTGTGGGGATATGTACATATCTGGAAGAAAATTTGTAATTATTAGCTTCGCGAGTGAAAGAGTTTATTTAATACAGCGGTTTGTTTAACACCATGCAGCATTATTTATAACAATGCTTAAGAAAGCGTAAATTCACCCTTTTACCTCTCCGTTACTATACAAAAAAATTTAAATATGGTAAATTTTGCAAAAGTCGACAAATAGAAAATTTCCAATCCACTATGTAAGGGAAGTTCTTTTAAAATGCTTTAAACGCATGTCTTATTACAAAGAGCAGGCTTTTTACTTATTTTTATTTATTCTTTCTGTTCAACAAATATTTTCAGGGGGTTTTATAATCACCATTTTACAATAATTTTTTTTAACGATTCCCACAGTCAGTAAGGCTATAAACCTTTCATCCATGAGGGATATTGTAATGCAAGAATCATCGCAAGGAAAACTAAATTTAAACTCATTTCCTATAAATTACAAGCATAAACGACATCAACAATGTGTACCATACAGGAATTATATGGCGAGCGATATATAACGAAAATGTAAGGGAAATGTGTGACTAATAGAGGAAAAATATTGGAATTAATGGTGATTAGACACATGAGTGATTTCCGGGAGTATCAATTAAATTACGAAACAAACCCAAGAATCGATAGTTCAAGGAATAACTAAATAAGATGCTTGCGGGAGCCAACTAAGAATAATAAGTCGCGCGAGCAAGGGAATAACCAGCGCAATAGAACTAATGAGAAAAGAAAATGGGTACTGGACTGCGCATATTTAGACAGAAGAGAGCGCGTGTTATGGACAGAAGCCATTCTGACGCGGTCTCTCTCGGATGGTGGTAGACGATTCCCCCAGACGATAATTGTCAAATGTATAAATTGAGTGGATTATAGATAATCTAGATGTTGTAAGTGTACAGTGTAAACCTCGTGACGAAGATACCACAACATAACTGGACCTTATTGAAAAAGGGAAATTGAAAATGTTCTTGAGATCCCGACGGCCGAGAATCCAACGGACTCAGATAGGAAAGCGATTAAATGGGAAATATCATCCCGAGTAGTGCAATATCTGCCCGTCATCTCCCTCTTACTCCTTCGCTCTCCGTCTCCACCCCATCTCTTCGTCTCCCTCCCCCATCTCTTCGTCTCCCCCCATCTCTTCGTCTCCCCCCATCTCTTCGTCTCCCCCCATCTCTTCGTCTCTCCCCATCTCTTCGTCTCCCCATCTCTTCGTCTCCCCATCTCTTCGTCTCCCTATCTCTTCGTCTCCCCATCTTTTCTTCGCCTCTCCCTCTGACTCAATCGCTTCCATCACTCTCCATCCCTCCCCCTTTCTCTGACCCTCCCTTCTTCTCTCACTCGCCCTCTCTCCCTCTGTCTCTGGTCCTCCCTCTCCCTCTCTCTCTCTCACTTTCCTCTGTACATCTCTATCTACGTCTGTCTCTCTGACCCTCTCATATACATATAATTGCAGACTCCGCATGGGTGAGCAGGGGAGTTAACATCGAGAAGCGCCGGATCAACAAAGAATGCTTATAGAACGCCACTACGAGTAAAATGTCATGCTAATAGAGTAAGTATTTTTAAGTTAAATTGGTTCTAACAGACAGATTTACAGACAGATAAAATGTATTTGACAAGACATTCTACTTGTAACAGCCCGAGTAACATCTGCTCGTTGGTTCGTCACTCACGTTAGCGCCCTTGCAATAGAATTTTGAGCGGATAAATATAAAATTACTTTAACTTTGGAAAACATTAAAGATTTTAAGCCATTGCCAATCCATCTCAAAATCTACAGCGATTAACTAGTGAGGGAGCACGTAGTTTTAGGCTTAGGAATTGAGTTTGTAGAATAACATGGAAACTTTCATTTTCGTTCCCCACTGCAATGTACGACACTTGCCATGGTGATCTTGCATTTCCGAGCCGCGTCCCTTCGAATGTCTGTTCTGGCAAGGAAACAAAGGAACCAGGCAGAGACAGACGTGGACCTGCAGTCACGCGCACGCAGGAAGCGAAACCCGCTCCCCCCCCCCCCCCCCCCCCCCCCCCCCCGCCGAGAGAGACGCGCTGCAAAGTCACGCAGCGCAGCGGCAGAGGCGAGGCGGGGAGAGGAGAGGGGCGGAGCTTCCGTTTGGAACAAAGGGCGCATAAAAAGTGGAACGCGCAAGACGCCCGCCCGCCACACGCGCCACGCAGCTCCAGGCCATGGAAAGAACTCAATAGCCAAATACGCACTATTCATTATATTAATAATAATAATAATAATAATAATAATAATAATAATAATAATAATAATAATAATAATAATTACATCAATAGTTACGGGAACAATCTACAAATCACAACAATCTCAACAAAGTATTGTAGAGAGAGCCTTCCCCACTAGTTATGCTTCTCAAGAAGTTGGCTGCAACCTAGAGTAGATTTTATATTAAGACGACATTTAACAGTTTTAGATTTTATATTAAGACGACACACAGTTTTAGTGTGAATTGCGGTTTGCGAATTAGTTAGTGAATTATAATCACTACAATACTATTTAGGACACCTTTCAAACTTCCTCATTGGCTCCCAAATTGATGTGGACGTCCTGTTCACTGATTAAATATTTAGACAGGTAGACTAAAGACTATTTAATTTGCAATAATGTGCCGTAATAATTCATCCAATGATGTATTTAACCGATTAATGTCAGGGCAGTATGGATTTCCATTTTCTAATTGGAAGAAATAGTCTTTCGACCAACCACTCTCCTCAAAATCTACGAGAATAATTGAAATAGTATTTTTGCAAATGCGCTTTTTTTGAACCGTGGTAAACGAGAAGGAGAAGAAGAGGTCAACGAAAACAGGAGGATGAAAAAGTTGAAAAGATAGAAGTAATAAAAGTGAAAGAAAAGGAAGGAGAAGAGAGGAGACGAAGGACAAAAGGCAGAAGGAAAATGACATGTGGAAGATAGAAGAGATGAAGTACGGGGATAAAGAAAAGAAATGTGAGAATAACGAACAGATAAAAAAGACGATAACAAGACAAAGAGGAGAAAGTAGAAAAAAGAACACAAGAGAGAAGAGAACGTGAAGGGGAAAATGAGGGAATGACGAAGAAGAAAATGATATCAGAAGAAATAAAGATGAAGAGAAAGAGAAAAAGAATGAAAGCACAAGAAGACAATGTCGACGAGGTAATAGTAGTAAAGAATAAGAAGAAAGAGGGGGGGAACAAATCGGAAAAGAAAGAAAAGGGGAAGAAGAATAATGAATGAATGAATGAGTGAAGTGAAGGTTTGGAGCAGTAAAGAAAGGCATGAGGTATGCAGAATGTTCATGAAAGTTCGCTAGAAATACAACATATTTTCATGAATTATTCTTCGTCGGGGGTAGTCAATTACATTGTATTGTATCTAGGTATAAAAATAATAAATAGAGCAAGATTAATAACAAAATCATTTGTCTTCCTTCGCGCGGTACTTGAGGCTGGGGTGGTTGACCTCGAGTCAGCTGCAGTTCAGGGTCTATGAGTTGACAAGCTGTCGTCAAATTACTGCTTTCCTCGGTCGCCGGCAATTTTCCCCTTCATGCTCTGCAATTCACAGTTCGAGGCATTGAGGAAATGCGCTGAGTAAAAACAATTAGAGGAGTTCATGTCGGGTTCTGAGAGAAGAGTTGTAGAACAAAGTGTTTTAAACGTAATAAAAAATGGCGATTAAGGACATTAGATGAAAACAAAACAACACAGTCATTTCTTGTTGTCAATATTCTTCATTTCTTCGGTTAGCAGCTTAGCATTGAAATACTTATGTCATTGAAGAAATAAAATTCCATTGTAATTAATTTACATAAATACTCTAAATAGTGAGATTAAAATATCCATTACTACCTGTCTAAAGAATTGTGCCATTTTAAAGTCTTCTGAAGAAATGAAACGTAATTAGTAAGTAGTTACAAGAACGGGAAAGAGAGTATTGATTTTCAGTTAAATAGTTGTTTTCTTCTTCAAATATTGCCATGCAAGTTGTTCACGTTCGCATTACAACCTTATAGCGCACCCTTGTAAATCATACGCCCCTTTTTGAGAAGCCCCTTCCTGAGGCATTTGATGGAACAAATACAATTCAGATGGGTTCAGTTTCAGTTGATTAGTACAGTATGTAGTTTTCATTAATGATTGGAAATCGCTATTTGATGTTTCGTTTCAGTATACCTTCCCTGGCGCCGTCACTCTCGACACCAGAGGCCTCACGACTGCTTTCTCAACCTCTGGATTCCCCATCCAGAGCCTTCAATTGCCTGCCCTGAACCACCGTCGAAGGCGACTGTAAAGGCAAGCAGTGGCACGGTCGGGGTCACCAACACACAATTATTGGTAAGGACGACTCGATAAAGAAGGCACAGGTTACCACGGAGTTCCCTACCGTACACATCTTATACAAAAATCTAGTGATGCTGAAACAATACTCACTTTCTTGCCTGTATTTTCATGCAAAATTGCGCGAAAAGTACTCAAATTTCCGAAAATTTGTACTTGACCTTATTTAAAAATCAATCTTTAAGGAACAGATTTCATTACTGGAAAAGTTTCTATCTTCATTATTTTAGTAGTAGAAATATTCCGAAAATTTTTTGAACTTTTCAGTTTTCGAAAAATTGGCGTTTTTAACGGGCATGTGACCTGCACCATTCTCCCAAACCTTCTTCACACTATCCAACAACAAAATTTAATAAAAAAAGATGGAGCTTTTTTGAAAATTTGGGGAATAATGCGGGGGTTCCATGTAACGTAACCCCCAAAATGGGAATATGGGTTTCAAATTCAAGGAGCAGCAACAACAACCAGATCAATTGACGAATATCAATTTTGGAGAAAATCGGCCGAACGGTTAAGCCGCTAGCGTTGTTCACAGACAGACAGAGTTTTGCCGTCATTCGCTGGATTGTGGCTCCCCACGCGACAAAGGATAGATTTTGCTTCGAGTGCAGCGCGTGGATGTACTCACGGTCGGAGCTGACGCGCTGCAACCCCGTGCCCAGCAGCTGCGCGTCCACCTCGCGCGCGCGACGGCACACCTGGCCCGCGAAGTCGAGCGCCGTCGTGCGCGGCACGTTGGCGCACTGGTCGGCGGCGCACGCGCGGAAGCGCCGGTCGGGCCCCGGGCACGCGCGCCCGCCGTTCTCCGGCCTGCGCACCGCAACGGCGGCGTTACAAGGCAGCGCCAAAGGGAAAAACTCAATACCAAACAGGCTTAACAAATTTTGATGTCAAAATTAGTCAAAAATGTCAAAATTAGGAAATACGTTTGCACAAAGTTGATTGATTGTTAGTCATTCGGGGCGCTTCAGCTGATAAGGTCATTATTCCGGTAAGTGTAGTGCCTGTTTTTGCTAGCGAGCTGGCGGTGATGCCCGCTGCATGGAGAGATCGGGCGCCGCCTTGCCGTTCGCTGGCTGGTCGTACCCAAAGAATCGACTGATCTCGGTCACCGAACGCCCAGCGCGAAGACTTTCTATAATCGCGGCTCTTCGATTGTACTCCGCATTTGTACGTAACACATCGGGCACTTAAAGGTTACGACTGTTTACTAGATGCGTCTCGCTTTCAAGGACGCCAATCGCGGCCTCTAGCGGAGCTACAATATGGCGGGAAATTCAAATGGAAATCTGTCTGGATTAACTGCCGCACCCTCCTCTCAGGAATGCAAATTCATATAGTTTTTATTGATTTCCCGACAACATTTCTGCCAATTAGCTCCATTGGTTTTGCATAACTATTTCCAATAATGAGAGAAAGTATTACTATTGTAGCACCTCTAGTTTACAAGTTATGACAATACAAAATTCAGTCAGACCGTTTTTTAAAGTTTGCCTGCAGTCACCGCTTTTCTAGGTACCTGGTCCATCTAAGCTCAAGCTTTCCAAAACCCTCAGAAGCAAAGATTTTCTGTTGAGGAATAACCCAGGTATGCATCGCTTCCTTCAGCTGCAGACCGGAGGCAAAACCAAACTAACAGTAATCGGCGTAAGGCAATTCGGGTACAGAAAAGCTCACTACACTTACGGGACTGTGACCTCGTTAGTTGAGTTGCGAATGAAAGATTGAGTGAGTACCTGGGGTTGTTGCAGCGGCGCGTGGCCACCATGACGCCGGTGCTGGGCGGGTGGTGGGGCGGCGGCGCCAGGCAGCCGGACGCGCAGTCGGAGAAGGGCGACCAGGCGCTCCACGCGCCGTCCACGCGCTGGCCGCCGCCCGCCCCCGCGGCGCCGCGCCCCCGCGCCACGCAGCGCCCGCGCCGGCACCAGCGGCCCGCGCCGCACGCCGACCCCTCCAGCGCCGGGTGGGACGTCCACACGCGCTGCGCCCGCGCGCAGTGCAGGTCGCGGCACACGTCCTCCAGCGGCTGCTGCGCTGCGTGCGCGCTGCCCGGCCCGTACTTCAGCACGCCTGCGCACGCCGCCACGCCCCCTTGCCCCTCCGCGCTCCACCTCACATCCTCTCTCCAGAACGCAACTTGGAGGGGTCCTGTGACGCAATTACTTTATACCCGTGCAATTTAATCGCATACAACATCAAGTAAATAGTTTCATTTCACATACACTGGCAGATTCTGTAGGTTATATCACCATCTATTCCTCATCCATTTGCCTCATAAGGTCATTATATGGCCCTAAAGCGCTCTGTTTATTTTAAATGTTGACAATGATTCAGAATGTTACGGGTTGCATTTAAAATGAATATTTGGATGCATTTTTTCAGCAAATCCTTCGTATTTTCAAAGTCAAAAACCAATTCGTCACGTCTCTGTGAATTTTCTCTCTTTAGGGACTCTCTTTCTTTTTTACAAAGATTAGATGCCTATGAGAGTCGCAAAACTTATGTATACCACAGAAGTAATATAGGAGAAGATCCGTCTACCCGTGTGAACTGTGAGAGAGAAGAAAATGCAAGACATGCCGTAACACGGATTTTATTTCATGGAAGTTCCTCGAGTAGAATCATCCGCGCGGTGAGAATTATGAACATTAAAAATTAACCTCGCGGGCATCCGTCGGGCCCTTGGCGACAGGTAACCCGCGCCGCCCCGCGCTCAGTGATAACGGATGGCGTTGCATAACTAATGTCAGTAAACTCTTCGTATGTTTTTCCTATTTGGCACTGACGCGCACCACATCCTTTGAAACGTTTTCCGCCAATAAGATAGTGCTGCTCATTGCCTTGTTTTGCGGATGCAAATAGCGCACACGAACGCTTCAAGAGGCCTTGAGAGGTAGCCCACTTTTTTCTTATTTTGTCTGGCATTAACTAGACATTTAGTATACAATAAAATCTTCCATATTAATTAGATAAAAAATAACACAATTTATATAGTGAAAACAATTCGAACAAAATTGTCGAACAATGAATATATTTTAAAGAACTTTCCTTTTAAAATAACCCAGGTAGTTGATTACAAAGTTTCTACGCTACTTCCTTATTGGTACAATGACTGAAATTAGTTTTACCCCGACATTTTTTAGGCATCAGCAGACCCGACGTTTTCCACGTTCCCTCCTCATCTTCATATCTGCCCTTTCGATCTGCAAATAAACTAACGTGCTCGCGCTTTTATATATGTGTGCATGTGAGTAGCCAAAGAGGAAGTCATTTTGCAGGGTGTTCCACTAACGCTTGGCGTGTTATGACGCTCTATTATTTCGTAATTCTGCTCGGTATTATTTCAAAAGAATACAACAATATCGAGTGTATGCTGATCTCATTTCAAAACAAAACTGAACCTAAAAACACAGAAATATACTTTTTCATTACAAGATAAGTAAGTGGATGTTTCCATGACTAGATGGAAGAGTCCCTAGAAAAGGCTGTTAGGCCGAGTCTACAAATACCTTCTTGCCATGGAAACTCAATTTTGACGTGCGATGTACAATACTTTATTGGAAATCTCAATTTCAGAAGAATTAAAATTTAATTGACTATCACAAGTACATACTACTTATTTTTCCGTTCAGGAATTGGTACGTATTTTGCTTCCAAAATGTTGAATGACAATTGTATGTTAATGGAAAAATATATTACGAGGCATTTGTAATGGAGGAAAACTACGTAGGCATTCCACAATATATTTGGAACTCCATCAGGTGTTTTGGAACACGCTGCAGCAGCAGCTAATTTAGATTTATTGTCACGAAAATCCGCAGACCAGAATGGAAAAACAACAATTTTTTGAAATTGCAGAAATCGGAGACAAGCATTGCAAACGAGAACATGCTAATTTTTTTGAGAAATAAATTAAACGTACAAGTAGTCGCCTATATGGACGCAGAATTCCAGGCTGAAAGTTTTTTTTAGTGTTAATAAAAATATAGCCATCAGAAGGTTTGTAATCAATTAACACTGACAAATACTTATAAGGAAACTTAATAAAAAAATATTCAACATTACTTTTGTTCCTGGTACGATCGTTAAACTGCAGTTTGAACATTGTATAGAATATTGATTAAAAATTAACATGGCAGTGATTTAACGCAGAATATACTTAAAACTAATATTTATTTATTAAGCAACACATTAGATCCAGGATGTTTTACTTCGATGATTTATGAACAAAAGAGGATAAATGGAAAAATTGGAAACACGATGTCCTTAATTATTTTACTTGCTTGCATAATTAAAAAAGTCTTTATCGAATGTAAAATTCCATAAAGATTATAATAACATATTATTTATACGTGACCAAACAATAAAGTATAAGACATTTAAGTACTATAATATAAAATGGAAATAGGATGTGAAAATACCACCTGCTTCTCATATTTTAAACATCGATGTGTTCGACATTAAAACTTTTTCGGGATGTATCGATGCTTGGTAAAATTTTGCCCTCGCTATTTGCGTCGCACGAAGCCCGCCCTCCGACGCGGAGCGCAGAAGCCACACTCACATTGCTGGTCGACGCCGAAGCGCTCCCCGGGCAGCAGCCCGTCGGCGCCGTGCTCCAGCCCCTCCACGCTGCTCCCGCCGTCCAGCAGGCACCGCGCCTGCGACGTCCTGCAACCACACCACGCACCGGCTCACCCCTCTGCACACACACACACACACACACACACACACACACACACACACACCACATCCACCCATACACCACATCCACACAAACCCCACACACCCCACACACCCCACACACCCCACACACCCCACACACACCCCACACACACGCAGCGTACAGGACACCGAGACAAGTGGCGCAGGGCGTCAACAGATGCCTCTGCACCGCCTCTGACCGGGAGGTCCTCGGTTCGTAGTCACTAGCAATGATAGCTTTCAGTCTCTATCTGGAGAGGAATTCTAGCGGCCTTATGCTCTGATCGGTAGTTTTCAGTACTTTCTCCAATCAACAGGAATGACGGCTGCTATCCCAACAGACTGGAGGTTGCATCTCCATTGACTAACGGAAATGTACTCGTAAATTCAAAATGCGGATAAACGAATGGGTGAAAACCAGGCCGGTATAAGTGACATTTTATAAATTCTGAGAAATCCGTTTATTGAAGTGAATATTACTGTAAAGTAAGCGTGTTTTGTTTCACCATTAAAACTAATCCATTTCAAATGCTCATTAAATCCACGCATCTCAAAGCTTGAAAATTATGTACAATTATAGGATATTTTTCTATACGTTACCGCAACGATTCGATTTGAAAAACCGTCGAACGTAATTTCCCCTTTCCCGAGAGTGTTGGGCTCGTCGCTGGGTCGAGGCGGAGTGGGCACGTACCCCATGAACTGCTCCAGGTACCTGCTGCTGCACGAGGACCACGTGGTTTTGCCGCTGCCCAGCGTGGGCGACATGATGAAGCTGCCGGGGTCGCAGGCGTTCCCCGCCAGGGGCCCGTCGTGCCGCATGCCCAAGCTGCGAACAGCATGCGAGCAGCGCGCGCTCAGTCGCCTTCTAACCAGCGCCCAGTGGCGCTTTAGCAAATTAGCAGGAGCCTCGAAGGCGAATAACAATGGGCAACGGGGTATAGTGCCAATGTAATAAAAAGTATCATAAAAAACCTATAAGTAACTTTTATGAGAAAAACATGCAATTTCAGATATTTATAGAAGAATTATTACTTTTGACGATAAGAATAAAAACACTACATAAATGAGTTTGCTCAGAACGCAGTTTACCTGGAATTAAAATTACACATTTAAGTTGTGTGAATTATCCTCGCACGTTTGTTTCAGCCCTCATTTCGCTATAAGCGAGAGGACGGGGGAGGGGGTTGTAATTACGACCACAGGGCTATTAAATCAAATCTGTAGCTCGTTTTTACATACAAAATAGTTTCTATTGCACACGGCACTAACATATCAGATTTGGTAAACAATGCTCATTGCTATCATTTATATTTATTTCAATTCATGTTGGACTAGGAGGGTCTATATTTCTGGGAACAAGAAAAAGTGTGCATACAATAGGCAGAGAGCAGAAAGAAAAAAATAATAAATGGAATATTCTCCGAAATAAAAAAAATAATCACTCAGGAATGTATGAAGAAATAAATATGGAGGAAGGAGGGGTAATTCTTAAAATAGGACGAAACAAAAGGATCATATATAAAAAGAAACGTCGAGAAACATTGTGTGAGAAAGATAAACAGATGAGAGCATCTTAAAAGAATTTAAACTACAGCTCCATTAAAGCTAGAAGAAATTATAGTAGATCGTAGCACTACAAAAGTGACAATAAAGTATATTCTCTATTTAATTTCGCCAAAATACAAATTTATAAATAAGATTGCATCAAAAACGAAATAAAGTCAACATCGTATTTATCTGAATTTAATCAATATATTCACGTGGAAAGTAAAAAATACAAAAGCTACAATCCCAATTAATCAAATAATACTAACTTTAACGATCATAAATGAAACATAGTGTTCAAACCAGCACCCTATGAGAAACACTACAACTACAACTTTAATAACAGAGGCAAAGCTAATACAGAGGAGGCCATACACGTAGATAATTTTGGGATATTTTATTAGCGAGTATGTTATGTTTTTTAATTTGTAAAAGTGGAATATAAAACGCGTGAAATATTGAAAGCAATTCATTAGTTTTCTTTTTAACATCGCCCGTTCAAATGGGAAACTTACGTTCCATAAACATGCATGGCACATGCGAGAAAGTAAACGTTTCCACATCACAGAGACTGTTTAAAACATTATAAACGAATCTGATACATTCGTCTTGTGCAAATAACTTGCGTAATCTGCTGGAGAGACCGAGATCCTGGCCGAATTGCAGTGCACGGGCAGGGGCAGGAAAACGCCTGCTTGAGCGCGAGCAGCGAAACGCAGAGCGGCACTAGCGCCCCTGCGTCGTTACCGCGCACCCCCACTGCGATCGTCATTCGCAGGAGAAAGTGCTCTCCTACAAACCGCTGTAGAGAGATACAGCGCCAGAAACAGCGACTTTTGAGGCTACGGCTGTGACACCAATAATTCCTTAATTACTGTCGTGCCTCTTGTTAGAAGGATTTTAACAGACTTTTATACTACATTTCATGACCTTAACATATCGACAAAAAATGCAACAATTTAAACGCGTTTCATACAGCTATTACATGGCTCATTTTCGTTGAAATTCTGATTTTTTGAAAAGTGAAAAAGTTCTTACGATGACGATATTGAAGTTAGAGATTTTTGCTTATTGAAATCTATTGTTGAAAGGCTGATAATAAAATAAAGCCTTGCTCTGAAATATAAAAAAATTTCAAACGTCTATTTTCTTAAAGATCGTCCAAAAGTTTTCCTTTACATTTTCTTCTCCTAAGTACAATATCAAAGAATGGTAAAGAAATTGTTGCCGGTCCCATTTTCGGAGAACTTTCTGTCTTTTCGATAATAACAAAAACTAGTATTTGCAAAAGAACGATATTGAAGATAGAAATTTGTGTATTAAATTAATTATGTTCTTAAAATAAGAATTAAGAATTAGAAAAATAAAAATAAAAATAGAAATAAAAAATGAAATTTGCATAAGTTGGAAATAATGGAAATGAGTGAGAATTTTAAAAGTCAGTAAAGGCGAGCATTTCCGCAAGACTGCGTTGTATAGCGGTAACAAGCTTGTTCTATTGACCCGGAGGATCTGAGTTCGTATTGCAAATTGATTTATTTCGAGGGGGCGGGGGGTGCTGGTTGGAAACACTTGTACAGGTTTATTAACTAGAGGAATATTGCGTAGCCGTTACTATAAAGTGAGAAAGTATGTGCTCATGAAAGAAATGTAACTGTAAAGGCGTGTATGATTTACAGTTATGTTGATACCAGTTTTTACCCTTCGGAAACTAGGAGATCCGCCGAGCTGACAGACATTGCAGGCACTCGCGCTCTCAACAATCTGAGTCAATACTAAACCAAGAACATAGTATTGACGTAGACTTTCTAGGCCTTCTGGCCAGAGTGCAAGCCTGACGCAGGGCGCGTGCGAAGACGCTACCTATCGGAAATTCCCTGACTTAACTTCGACTGACGTGACTTGACTACCCAGCGGCCCCTAATAGGCTGCTGAGTGTTAAATAATAACGGAGGATTACTCCAACTAAAATTAACGAAGGATTACTTCACAGTGCGCTCACCACTCCTTAAAGAGGAGACGCGTTGCATGAATAGACGCAACAAATTAAGAAAGCAAAAAAGAGCATACCCGGAGATGGAGACAGATATGACATGGAAGTATGAATGGAGGACGCAAGGGCGCTGCCGCTTACTTGTGCCCGATCTCGTGCGCCACCACGTAGACGCTCTCGAAGTGGCGGCCCTCGTTGACGGTGCAGCTGCTCGTCGCGGTGCACATCCCAGCGACCGGCGCCAGCCCTGCGCACAGCCACGTCGCCAGCCTCACCTCTCGCTTCGCTCTGTCCAGGCGCCCAACGACTCTATTCACTGTTTCGTGATTCCGGGCACTATCAGGGGCATTGGTCCCGTAAGAGTAATGCATGCTTTTTGCTCGAGAGATGGCGGTGATCTATCCATGGCGAGACCCGGCGCCTACCTACCGTCGGGTGGTGGGGTTTTCCCCAACCAGGTATCTCCCATCAGCAGGACACCGCTCCAGCCGGGACAAGCTCTAAGTTCCTGACGGGCAGGTAGTGTAGTGCGTGTTAGTGCACGTGTGCTTAAGTAAGGTATGAGGAACGGACACGGAAGAGGAAGGTGATATCGCGCGCGGTACGTGGCCCGTTTCTTCGGGTACTTCTACGAACAATCGCAGACTAATGCACAGATTTTTCAGAGTAAAGTTAAAAATTTTCTAGCATGTAGAGATATTAATACGATCAATCATTGCCAATAAACATGGGAAATCTGGAAAAACGAAATTAAGCATGTAAAAAACGCATTGCATGGAAACTCATCTTGCACTAGACCAGTTAGAAGATATCTGACCCAGGAAAAAAATCCATCCAGTCTTTGTAAAATAATATGAACCTGTATCATTTGCAGTTTTATAACGTATGAATAATGCTTTGCATGGAGTGGCATCGATGTGATGTACCGTTGGCAGATGGAACGCAGAGAAGTTTCGTGAAACAAGAGGGGGGTAGTTTAAAAAAAGAGTACGTTATGTTGTATGTTTCAAGAATTTGCAGATACTCCGCGCAAGCAAACACGCCTCTGCTGATTCTGCTAGTATCGCAGAGTTAAGCATTTAACAATGTTTGGACAAGGATGGCTGCGGGTCCGAGTATCGGGGGCCGGGAGCGAACGCGGGAGCGGGGCCGGGAGGTGTGGATGGCGAGGAGTATGTAAGACCCAAACCTTCATTCACATTACGAATTCCATTCGAGATAATAGAACTTTCAAAATTCCTGTACAATTAAATAGCACAGCTGAAGACGAAAAGTATTTGAGTTGTAAAAAACTCTACAATGAGCTCGTAACTTTCTTCAAAAGTGATGACTCAGCCCACCTTCTATAAAATAATGGCATATATTAAGTCATTAGGCGTGAAGTGAGGGAGAAGAACTACTCTCAGCCTCTCTGGGTACAATAAGATCACTGAATGTGACATCTTATCAATAAAACCTCAATTTCCTTCCTCGTTCCAAATTCGGAGAACATTGCTGTTGTGATGAGTGCGAACTTTCGCGGACGCCAGTGGATTCACTGCGCAAAAAGTGGGCACAGAAAGTGGAAAATTACCTGTGGCTCCGGAAATAATTTTGGTTCCGGGTTGGAATTGCCTCACTATTCTATAGCGAAGTAGGTTAACCGGATTTGTTTTTCACGGGCACTATCTTAAATTCTTCCTTTAAATTAAAACGGACATAATGATCATTAAAATATTTTCAAAACAATACCGCAAATTATTTTTAAAATCATTATTTATTAGCAGTGAAAAGTAAACGTAAAATAAGAGATACCTACACATAAGTAGAACATCTCCAAATTCACGTAATGATGGCGGAAACTATTATTTCTACAACATAAATTTAAGTAATTTAGTAAGGAAATGCTTGTTAGAAAATATTTACCAATCTGACTAGCTCAAAACTGATTTGTTCACCAACTAAGTTTCATCAACTTTCTTTATTTATCTCTTTATAATTTATTAAATATTATTATACCACAAAATGTTTAGCAAACGAGTAAGTTCAATTCAAGTCATTTAATCTTCCCGTTTAAATTAATTTTTTTTTTCATTTTTCAGGACATCAAAAGAAAAGTCAAACACATGAAGTTTGGTTAACTTGAAGTATTGTTTATACTTTCTCACTCGAATTGAGGCATTTTAATACACAAACATGCTGCTTAAAGAGGGATGTAATTTCATTATCTGTCTTTGAAAATATGTATTCATTACATACATTTTTCGTTTAGTTAACTAAATATGCTCATTAATTTCATGAAAAATCGTCAATTATCACTGTTTATGGCATGCGTGAAATGAAAGCTTAATCGGGCAATTAAAAGTCCACAACAGCAAATCAGAATTTAGATAACTGATCAAAATTGTTTAACAGTGTATCTATAACACAGATGTAGCCAAGGTATTAATAAATGGCCATTAAATATGAACAAAAACGTACATCAGAGATTAGGTACATCAGAAACATATAATCAATGAACGAATGAATCGAAATTATAAACAAAAAATTATGACTACTCTCTAGACAATCATGTTAATACTTATAGTGCAAGTTAAATTAGACAATATTACCATACTCATACTTGGCATCAACCATCCTAACCCAGAAATCGCGTTGTATTTACACAGATATGTTTACTTCATCGATTTGAATGTGACGGCCCTGAGAGCAATTGTTTTGGCAAAACTTTGTTTTTTACAAAATCAAATAAATTGTTTATAATTTAAAATATCGATATTGTCCTGTACTCGCTACGTCTTCAATATACACAAGTATGACCATAAGCATGTTGGTTTGACACTAGCCAACTAATGAAAGAACATAAAATATTCAACAAGAATAAATATGTTACGAGTAAAACATTTAGTCTTAGCAAATTTTAAATATAAAAAACGTAATTGTCAGTTGTTTTTAACCGCCAGAACACCAGTAAAACGTCTAAGTCAGAACTGAATCATCTTTCTCCTTTCCAACATTAACATGTGTTGTTCCCTCACATATTCCCTTACTTTTCTTACGAAGAAACGTTTTCATGACTTAGTCAGCTTCTTCTAATATTTCAATCGGAATGCGTTAAATATTTTCCATTTTCAAACGTAATTATCAAACAATTATTCCCTAAGACACTAAGGTGATCATAAATATACACGGCAAGACCTACTATAATAGGTCTTATTCATAACCAATGATACATATCTCAAATGGTACATATATGATTTCATTTCTGACAATTAAAATTATTCTTTAATGGAAACGAAAAAATATTGAACGCAACATGTTAATAGAGGAATATAATTGCACTCGTGGTAAATAAGAAAACTCGCTCCTATCGTCGCTAGTTTACTTGAACCTACCAATAATGCAATTATATCCCTCTTTATACACTTGTTTCATTAACTACTACAATCATATATCCTCAAATATACCTTAAATTCTAGAATAATACAGTTGTTCAATTTTAATATGTGATAAACTATGGTCTACTTCTAGTTCTTTTCGAGTACCTATTTGTATTAGTTAAATATTAATTCTCATTAGAAACATAATGACATCAACGATATTTTTAATTTTTTAAGAATTGGCCGAAAAGTTTCGAATATTGATTTTGTGGAGTGACTGAACTAAGAAGCTTAGAAACGTTTATTGATCAAATGTTAACGTTTACGTTGGGAGCAAAAACCGTAACGTTGGTCGAACTGCACTTTGAAGATCTGCACGAAGGCTGTCATACAACCTTCAGGTCCGTCTGGAGATGGAGATCACGCAAGAAAAGTAGGTGTGTCGAAAGCAACCAGTCGTCATTTCCTCCATTTGCTTTCACACAAAAAGTAATAAGCGGTGTCCAAGACCTTGAAGATCCTCACTTTCTAGAAAGGAAATTAAGAAACTCAATTGAGAAACGTAGTGAAGTGGAACAAATCTCGTTATCCTGCAATAGTAAGAACGAATACATTTAGTGCTGAACATTAATTATTTTAGCAGTTAAGGAAAATTTGTTCTCGTAGACAACGAAGCGTTCAAAGTATTATTTATGTGTTATTATTAGTATTTGTAATATTACTACACACTATTACCACATAATAGTATGTAGTAATAGTGTGAAGTGTTAGTAGTATTAGAATTTGTCATGTATTAGTATTAGTCATGATCTTCCCAAAAATACTCCCATACGCATACCTTAATTTTATAACTTAAAATGATCAGTCGGATTGTTTGACCATCACCATCGCTTTCAAAGTATGTTAGTACGTGGAAGTAGTACAAAAACAAATTACTATTTATTACGTTCTTTGATAAAACCATGGCCACTGCCGGAAATTACCAGATGTTTCTTCTTCACAATCGGAACTAAACTTTATACCCTTAGCTCTTCATAATATTTTAATATTATAATGTACACGAATTTTTTACAGTTTTATTATTAATTTATTCCCGCAAAACCAATTGTTTACTGCTCATCTTCTCAACCCCTCACCCAAAAAAAGCCTTGCGGGCCAGTTTGATATCAAGCCCAACATAGCAGAATTAAATCATACTAGTACCAGATTTTTGTCCTATTTTATTACTAAATATATTACCGCAAAACCAATTTTTAACCACTCATTTTTACAGCCGAGAAAAAAGTTGCGAGACAGCTTGATATCGAGGTGGCCCGCCCTCCATAGTAGATTAAAACGAACCTACACCAGAATTTTTAGCTAATTTATTTCCACAAAATCAATTTGTCGTTGCCTAAAAGTGTTTCCCCCTAACCTTTACATCAATCTGGGCCACTGTAGCAGAATCAAACGAATCTAGTGTCACATAGCGAAGATTGAATATTTCTTATAATATTGCAGACAAGGATGCCAACTGAAAGAAAACTAATCGAAAGTACGCATTTCGTTACTGCTTCTTATGTTCTGAAACTTAAGTACGAAATGGAACTGAGGTCCGAAGCGTGGAGAAGAAATCTGTTGACTAGTAACAAACTTCCTCCGGAACGAAACTTTACTGCTGTGGAATTTAGTTTCGTCCCAGGAAGCTCTATCATCATGCGAGATTCATTTCAATCCAGGTGCTTTATTTAAGAAATGGTTTCGTTATTCATATTTCATGGCGGCACAGCAAAGATTCAGTTTCGCTCCCAGTAACGTAAGGTGAATGTAGGATTTTATTTGCGCAATTGTACCATAGCTGAGCACTGAGGTCACATTAGAGAAACAGCAGCTACTTCCTCTGACGATCAAATTGGTAAGCATTTTTTTTTAAAATACCGCCAATTGAGTACGTCATGCGATCTACTCAGAATCCATCGACTTGCGAGGATTTGTTTACTTTCTCACAGCA